AGGCCCTAAGCAACTCAGTGAGAACCTGTCTAAATAAAATACAAACAGGGCTGGGGAAGTGGCTCAGTGGTTGAGTGCCCTTGAGTCAATCCCCAATACACTTCCAAAAAAAAAAAATGAAAAATCCCAGCAACTCCTGACTTACTACATGCACATGCACACACACACACATGTCACACATACATCTATGTAACACCTCAGGTGCAGATTATCTGTTGATGTGAACAAATGACCACCAAATTCAGCAGCTTAGAACAAGCATTGTCCCATCTTGCCCTTCTAGCTCCTGCTGGAGGGGCAGGACTCACCTTTGGGAAGGTCTTTTCTGCAGGGCAAGTGGTCTCTCTCACATCTGGGAGGAGAAGGCTGGGAGGTGGCTCTGCTAGGATCACAGGTCCCGTGCCTCACAGGTGACCTCTCTGCCATGCTGGCCTCAGAGGGGACATCCTCTGTGGGGTCCGAAGCTGTGAAAGCAGAGCTCAGTCTTGGAGCTGCCAGCCTGGACATGCTGGCCTTGGGAGTTGCAGAGAGCATCACCTCTGGGCATCTCGGGTCTCTTCCTCCTTCACAAGTTGGGCTGGGCCTGGCTGGCTGGGCAGTCGCTGGACACCTGCTGTCTGTGGAACACTGTCCTCAGACCAGACCAGAGAAAGCATCCTGTTGTCCTTGGGGCTGTGACACTGCAGTGGACTGGGATGGAGGCAGACAAGGGGCTCTGGTTTTGGCTGCCACCAGGAGCTCAAGGCCACCAGGAGCAGGCAAGCACTTGGGAGGGGGGGGAGTCAGTGTGGGACCTCCACAAGGCCAACACTTGCATCGAGCTTTCTTGAATATTACTTTTTACCAACAGGCTAAGAGCTCTCCACCAATGGCACAGTACACAGTACACAGCAGACGCCTGCTGATTAATCCCAGGACTGCAGCAGGCAGGTAGCCATCCTCCTTCCCGAAGCCCTGGAAGCGGCGCTGTCTCCCCACCCAGTGCTCTGCACCCTGACCTACAGGCTGGGCCACCCAGCCATGGGTCAGGCCACAGAATCGCTTTAAGGTGGAGAGCCACTCCCAGCAGAGGCCACCAGGAGAGGCAAGGACAGAGATGGGACCAACCGGGTGTTTCTGAGGCTGGAGGATGGGGTGAGGTCAGGGCTGCCCGGCGCCTATGGAGGCTGCGAGGCAAGCAAGCCCAGCAAGGCGCACGGAGTGGCCCCTGAGCTCGGCAGGGCCGCTGCCTGCGGCGCCTCGAGGTGGCACCCGTGGCGGTGAGGAGGGCAACCCTCGGAGCCAGGCTCCTGTGGGAGGGGGCAGGGGGTGTTCTCCGCCCTGGGTCCCTCGACCCAACTCCAAAAGTAACAGCGTCCTCCTCACCCGAATGAATCAAGGCCTCTCCCGATGGCTATTGGCCAGGATTGGGTCACGTGTCCATCCCTGAACCAATCACTGTGACCCAGAAACTACAGCGCTCTGATTGGCCAGGCCTGGCACACGTGACCATCCCTGCAGATAGTGATAGAAATCGGCAGGAGAGAAGTTTCCTCCAGACATTTAGAATCCTATTGCTGGAAGACCGGAAAAGGACTCCAGGGTCAGAGGGCGCTCCTGCCACAAGAGTAATGGAAGAGCATTTCTCTTCAGAGGCCAGTGCTCCAGCGCCCTGGGCCCTGCTGCTTAGTGCCCTCCTGAGACCTGGACTTCTGGCTCCCTGGGTCGGGGCGCAAGCTCTCTACCCTCCAGACTCCATGCTGGGGCTGTCCTCTTGGAACCCCTTCTGATTGCTCTCTGTCCTGCTGGGACTGGGAACATTGGCTCTTGTGTTTGTTTTCCTAGAGTTTGCAAACCCGG